GAAACAGCAGAGACGGCAAGATTTTGTATCAGGAAACACTCAGAGCTCGTCACATCTCACTGCTTTATGTGTTTGCATGTTTGTATCATCTATGTATGCATATTTAATATCTATAGCATGTTGCTTACAAATTAGATGCATCTGTAGAGATGTGTGTGCGTACTCGATGGCCTGCACGAATCAAAAACACATCTGTAACCACTCGGTTCATGTTGATGATGCTGACACAGTATTAAATATTTTTCATTTATCAGCAGCTTTACTTTCTTTGTTTGGGTGACGGATTAAAATGAAAAAATAATAAATAAATAACACGACTTCACCATCTTTCCGAGTTTTTCATTGAGAGTTCTGGACATTTCCAGCCATGTTTGTTTTTTAACAAGAGTTTAGGACATCTTCAGTTGTGCTCGTAGTGACAAGAGTGGGTATTTTTAACAAGAGTTCTGGACATTTCCAAACATGTTCATAGGGACAAAAGATGGTATTTTTAAGGACAGTTCAGGACATCTTTAATTGTTTTTGTAACAACAAAGACGGGTCATTTTTAACTGAAGTTTGTGATATTTTCAGCTGTGTCTGCAGAGTAAAAAGCAGACATGTTTCAATGAGTGTTTGGAACATTTCTAGCCGTGTTTGTAGCAACAAAACTGATGATAGCAACAAAAGCAGGTGTTTTTAATGACAGTTTGGGACATTTTCCAACTGTGTCTATAAAGAAATATGAAAGTATTATTTAACGAGTGTTTGGGATATCTAGCCATGTTTGTGGCAACAAACGTGGGTCTTTGTGAACAAAAGTTTGGGACATCCTCAGTTGTGTTTGTCGTGACAAAAGCATCTGTTCTTTTTAAAGAGTTTGTAACATCTTTGGTTGTGCTTGTAGCAACAAAAAGAAGATTTTGTGAAAAGTTAGGGACATTTCCAGCTGTATTTATTTGTGTATTTAGAGCAACAAAAGCAGGTGTTTTATAATGAGATTTTTTTTTAATTTTCCAGCCATGTTTGTAGAAAAAAACCTCAGATAATTTTTAGTGAGTGTTTAAAGCCAGGTTTGTAGCAAGACAAGTGGGTGTTTTTTTAACAAAGATTTGGGACATCTTCAGTTGTGTTTGTCGTGTTTCAACAAGAGTTTGACATCATTGGTTGTATTTGTAGCAACAAAAACGGGTGTTTGTTATCGAGAGTTTGTGATATTTCCAGGTGTGTTTGGGACAGCAAAGCAGGGTTTTTTGGGGTTTTCTTTAAACAAGAGATCATCAGATTTCAGGTGTGTTTATAGCGATAAGAGCTGATGGTATTTTTTTGTTTGTTTTTTTTCAAGAGTTCAGGACATCTAAAACTGAGGTAGGTTTTTTTTAACCTCTCTAACTCTGCCAGGACGCTGACGTCCTCACCCCCCCCTCCTCTGTTGAATGGTATCTCCCAGGTGCACTACATCATCAAACCATGTGATCGTTTTTCTTTTATTTCTTATGTATTTTGCACCAGAGCAGCCTAAACACACAAAGTCCAAAATCGTGATGAGTGGTGACAAGTCATGTCATGCCGTTTTTCGACGGGAAAAGTTAAAGGATTACTCGTGATCTTATGTGGAGCTGTTAGCGGGGACTTAGCTGGTTTATAAAAGGTAAGAGTCTCACTCCTACCACGATTTTTGGCTGAGATATACCGTCTAGAAAGTGGGATCATAACTTTCACGTTTCATATGGCTTTATTTGGTGATATTTTATGGTGTTTCTGTGTCATAAACAACATCAGCTATCATAATCACACACAATAAGGTACAATGTTTGAAGCTGGCTGAGTGTTGTTTGATCACTGACAGTACTGTTTTGAAGCAGAGTGACCGACTTGTCATTTGGAGTTTCGCCTGGATCTTTTCATGGTAAAAACACTGTAGAATGGTCATACTTTGAGCAGTCTTCTTCAAATATGAAACAAGTGTTCATTGATAGTGTGCCTACAGCCCCACAGTGTCATTTACCTGCTCAGATGAAGCCACAGACAGTTATTCATCCTGAAACACATTTTATATTTTAGGCAAAATCTCTGTCTCTGTATCACCTAGAGTGTTTCTGACACTTTCACAAGAAACTTCAGGGAGTTTTCTTTCTGGCAAGACCTCGTGCATGCATGTAGTCAGAGCGGTTCAGAAGCTACAGTCATTTTAATCTGAGTATGTCATTTTAGGCGTTTTTGCTACAAAATGGGGGTGGAGTACAAGAGGTTTTAATAAGAGGTTGAAACATATCCAGCTGTGTTTATAGTGACAAGAGTTGGTAGAGTGTGGGACATTTTGTAGCAACTAAAATTGGTGTTTTAGGGCCAAATCATGTTTTCCTAATCCTAACCAGCTGGTTTTGTGTCTTAAACTATCCACACCTTCATCACCTTCTACGTAAGTGCCAGTAACATATCCACAGTTTGCAGAAATGTGCAATGGCAACATTCACACTTGGGTTGTTTTCGTCCGTGCAGATAAACTAACTTGTGTTTTGCTGTTCAGAAGCATCTGATCTCCTTTAGAAGCATCAGGTCCTCATTAAGGTGGATTAAACTCAGCTCAGTAAACAGACAGAGCAGGTTGACTTAAGTGAAGGAACAAAGTGTGTGTGTGTGTGTGTGTTTGCTCACAGTTTTTGCCATCAAACACACAGAGGAAACAGCAACCTGCAGGCTGTGCTTCCTGCAGTCTCCCAGCTGGTGAAAATCATTCAGACCTTCTAGTGTGTCGAAGACAAAGACATCACAGTGCTTCAGCCTGATTCTTGTCTCTGGTACGAGTGTGTCTGAGCCAACTCTTCCTGCCAGAACAAGGTGTTTTCTAAACGCACCTGTATCAGCACATTCTGCAAAGTGTGTGATTTACACCTGCAACATATGCACCAAAATACAACAGAGTGGAGGCGATGACCACTGCCCTGCTGCTGGCTTCATCTGTTTGTCCATCATTCACCCCGTCAGGTGTCTGTCTGTCTGTGTGAATCCAACACAGACGTGTCTTTGATGTGTCTGTGTGTCCTGCAGGCACATGAATCACGAGGTGAGAGGTGCTGCTGCAACACATCACAACAGAAACAGAGGGGAGCTTCCTCTCACTGCTTATTTCATCTGCACGACCAGTGAAAACACTGGGGGTTAAAAAATAGAGTGAGAAGAAAAGAGGACAGGATCGCAGCAATAATTTATTGATGTTAAACTGCTAAATTTTACATGTGAACACTGGGGAGCACAGCTGAGGGAGGCATGGAGGAGCTGAGAGACCACACTGCGGCCTCGCTGACATGTTACAGGTCTGAGAGAGCGCCTGCTTCTTATGAACAGTAACATTCAGTCCCCAGTGATCAATGTCTCGTTATTCCTTATTATAGGAAAAGTATATTCTCCTTAAACACAGTATGCTCCCACTCAGGTGTGTTTTATGTGTGTGCACACCTCCAAACTGCACTAGTGAGGCGTGCATCCAAAATCAACAACCAAATCTTTTATACACACAGAGACACGATACCGATAATCATCTTGGATTATCACCTGCTAATGGCTAACCTGCTAACAATGGACTGCTGACTGACACATCCAGCAGACACACAGGAGCTCTCATTCAGGAAATACTGTTCTTGTTTTGTAGCTGCACGGCAAAACAAAGAAAGCAGCAGAGAGAGGAGACGCTGCTAAAGTTCCTGTACTTTATGTTGACAATCCTGCCCTCGCTATTTCCTGTCCACGCATGCTTTCGGCCACACCGCGCCAGCAACATTTCACCTGGCGGATTTTGGTCCGACTGCATCTTACAGTATGACACAAACCAGCAGTGGGCATTGTAGGTTTCTGCAAACCACGGATATGTTACATTTGCTCAGTGTTGAGTAGCTGATGCGTGGTTATGTTTAGGCACAAAAACCACTTGGTTATGGAGAGGAAAAGTGCATTTGTGGCTCAAAATGTCCTGCTTTGATAGCTAAAAAGTTGCTGGACCTGCACTGATGTTTGGCCCAAGTTTGGTGCCTTAAAGCTGCTGGAAAAACAGCAATGGGTCCACGTTTGGTGCCTAAAGGGCGCAGGAGGAACAGCAGTGATTCACTATCCCTGCTGGAAGCAACAGCTCACTAAAGATCACCCTCATTTGGTGATCTAAAGTAACAAAATCTCACCTGGTGAAGTTTGGTCCGACTGCTTCTTACAGTATGACACAACCCAGCTGTAGGTATTGTAGGTTTCTGCAAACCACATATGTTACATTTCACGGTGTTATGTAGCCGATACATGGTTATGTTTAGGCACAAAAACCACTTGGTTATGGTGAAGAAAAGGTCATGTTTTGACTCAAAATATCCTGTTTTGGTGGCTAAAAAGCTGCTGGAACTGCACTGATGTCTGGCCCAACATTAGGGCTTAAAAACGGCTTGGAAAACATCAGCCGCAACAAGACGCCTATGTGGTGCCTAAAGAGGTGCAGGAGAAACAGCACTGACTTGCATATTTATTGTTTATTGGTCTCAAACAGTGGTCTGTATGTTTTGACTTAAAATACTGTTTTTAGGGGCACAATGCCTGCTAGAGAAGCAGCGATGTCTTAGTAAAAAACTTTTGGTGCCACTATCCCCGCTGGAAACACTGTGACATGTCACTAAAAATCACTCACATTGTGTGCCTAAAAATCCAGCTCTGTCCTTTGTATTTCTGATGTACCGGGCACAGCCTCAGGGGCCCAAAGTCGCAGGGGCCCCCTGATCTTCACTTGAAAACTGTCACTCAAACTAACATGTATAGAGGAATGGTCCCAAGTGTCCCGACTTCCCCTAAAAAAAACCTGGATTTTTTTCTGCTACAGACACTGCTGTAAGTTTCCAGGCCACTTGTTGCTGCTTTTGTCACTGCAAACACAGCTGAAAATGTCTGCAAAAGTGATCAACATGTCTTCATCGAAGAGTCTCCACCACACAAAGCATCAGAGATATTAACTGCAGCGATGGTTTGCGGTAGCTGTTGTCACTCACCTTCTCTCCGGTTGAGCTTAGCAAAGCCCGGCCCGTGGCTGCCTGATAACTGCGAGGAGCTTCTGAAGGACGATGGCAGCAGACTGGACACCAGCGGACTGTGACACACCTCTGGGAATCACACAACAGAACAACATTCAAAATCGTGACACAGTTCACAGGAGACAGGATCCAGCTGACCTCAGACCAGCCTTGAACCTAATCCCTGATAATTAGGCCTCGCGGGAACATGTTTGACTTTAATGACACGCTGAAACAAAATCTAACTTTCATCCAGGAGACCTCAGTTTGTGTCCCGTATGAAACCAAAAGTCAAGGTATGTGATAATGATAATAGTTTATTTCGGTCCAGTTGCATAGCAAGACACATTTCCAAAATCAATAGATAAATGTTACAGTAGCCGAAAAGGTGTAGGCTGAAGCCAAAGCTTATTGTGTCTACTCTTTTCACATTTCAGTTAAATGCAATTGCAACAACAAAACATGACATAACAGAAAACAACATGTAGTTAGAATGACAAAACAAAAGAACAAAACAAAATCGAAAATCCAAAAGTACATAAACACATATTTTCTTTTATATTGTTTATTGTTGTAGCTTTCCTTTGTTAACATATGACTTATGGTAAAGATAATAATGATTTATATATTTGTCTATAACCTTGGATTTATACATTTTTTTAAATTGACAAATTGATTTGCATATTTTTAGTTCATTGTCCAGGCTGTTCCACAGAGACACCCCTTTAACAGATATACATCTACTTTTGATGTGAGTTCTTGTCTTGGTATTTTTGAACATACATATACCTCTTAGATTATATCGACTCACTCTAGGCCCAAAATGTTCCTGGATGCTGTGTGGAAGTAGATTATTATTTGCTTTATACATTATAATTAATGTGTTTAAGTCTATGAGATCTTCTAGTTTTAAAGTGTTTAAATTAATAAACAGTGGATTTGTTGGTTCATAGTAGTCTTTGATGTACAATTCTTATGGCCTTTTTCTGTAACAGGAAAATCGGATGTATTTTAGTTTTATGTGTGTTCCCCCATACTTCCACACAGTAATTAATGTATGGAAGCACGAGGGAGCAATACAAAATATATACAGAGTTTTTGTTTAAAAAAAAAAAAAATCATTTTGTACATTATGGCAATAACTTTTGATATTTTTGTTTGCAAGCTATTTATATGTGGTTTCCAGTTTGTGAGTTTACTATCAATTATGATGCCCAAAAATTTGTTTTCATACACACGTTCAACTTCAACATTTTTGACCTTGATTTTGACCTGTGTATTAGTTCTTCTATTGCCAAAGATGATGTATTTTGTTTTACTAAGATTCAATGACCGTTTATTAATGTCAAACCATTTTTTGTGTTTTTAATTCATGTTCTACTGTATTCAGGAGCAGTTCTAGATCTGTTCCTGAACAGTAGAGGCTGGTGTCAAAAGCAAACAGGACACATTTCAGATGTCTCGGCACATCACAAATATCATTAATATATAAAATAAACAGCCTTGAGGAAATCCATGTGTAACGTTTTTCAAGTCAGAATCCACGTTATTCATGTGAACATATTGGAGTCTGTCCCTAAGGTAGCTTTCCAACCATGAAAGAGTTCCTCGGATACCATATCTTTCCAGTTTTTTCAGGAGTATTGCATGGTCGATGGTGTCGAAAGCCTTCTTTAAATCAATAAAGACCCCCACTATAAATTCCCTGTTGTCTATTGCAGTAGATATCTGTTCTACCAACTCCATTACTGCCATCGAAGTGGACCTGTTTGACCTAAACCCATACTGTTGGTTGCTAAGTATATGGTTTTTATATGGGGTGCCGTTTGTAAAGTGGCTCACGCTGAAAATAACATCAACATTTTGCCACATTTAGATTCAAACAATGTTTAAAAAAAAATTGTGAATTTTTTAACGTCACCTTTTACAACATTTACAGCAATATTTGTTAACTTAGAAATATATTAAATAGTTAAATCTAAATATTAAATGTGGCACCTAAATGTTAAATCTAAATATTAAATCTAAATGTTAAATCTAAATGCTAAATATAAATATAAATCTAAATGTTAAATCTAAATGCTAAATATAAATATAAATGTTAAATGTTAAATCTAAATGTTCTGGGTGAAACTAAATATTTAGCTAATATGCAAATTCACACTGCCGGTCACCGGAAGTACCAAAATAAA